AACACAAGCAGGGGGAGTGGGAGAGGGAGAAGCAGGCTTCCCGCGGAGCAGGGAGCCCGATGCAGGGCTCAATTCCAGGACCCTGGGATCATGACCTGAGCTGAAGGCAGACGCTTAACGACTGAGCCACCCAGGCGCCCCATAGTGAAGTATTCTTAACATAATTTCATTTTTTGTAAACATATGTTAGTGTATGTGACTACAAAAAGAAGAAATATACTCAAAACTAGGAGCAACCACTGGGGGCTAAAATGGCAAGGGGCACTCATTATGAAGTTCCATAATTTAATATTTTTCCCCAGCTAAGCATGTATTACTTCCATGATGAGAAGGGGACAAAAGGTAAATGAAGATAAATTAATAAATATTTTAAATAAGTAAGTTACAGGGTTTAGACCTAATTTGGTAAGCAACAATGAGCCACGTGTAAATACTGAATTTTGGGAAGCCTTAGGGGCTTTTGAGAATGCTTTGTAAATATCTCAATAGTCCTTGATAGCCCTTTGCAAATCTCTGCTGAAGTACCATCTTCTCCAAGCAGGTGGGGTCTCCATGCTTCCCCAGTGGTCTGCTGGGTCTCCTGCAGCCCCTTGGCATGCCCACCCCAGCCCCTTACTCCCCACTCCCATGCAGAGGAGTACTGTTCCTTTTACCTGGTGGATCAACAACCATTCATAGCAGAGGTAATGACAAGGGAATTTATTTATTACTATTTTTTTAAAGATATTTTTAATTTATTGAGAGAGAGAGAGAGCTCTTGCACATGGGTGCATGAGCAGAGGGAGGGGCAGAGGGAGAGGGAAAGAGAGAAATTTAGCAGATTCCATGCTGAGGGCAGAGCTGGATAAGGGGCTCAGACTCATGACCTCTGAGATCATGACCTGAGCCGAAATCAAGAATCCAACGCTTAACGACGGTTAACCAAGGGAGCCACCCAGGCGCCCAAGAAATCCATTTTCTTTCCTCATTCTTTAGATAGCTTTGCAGTAGATCCATAACAGAACAAATAGGAAGGCTAGAAGGGAAGAGAATGATGGAGAAAGGAGGTTTCTCTTCAAATGGGCCTTCCATCCCCAGTAGATCTTCCTTTCCACAACAGCAGGCCAGGAGGCTGATAGGCTGTGGCTCACTTTAATTCAGATCTGTAAAACCAGATTGGCTAATTTAGTTGAGTCAGCCAAGTAGAGAGAGGTTGAGAATGGGACTGTGGTTTCCAAAACAGAATCCCCAGCCCCTAAAGTGCTGGCCCCTTGGGAGACAGAGTAGTTTTCCCCACTGGGAAAATAACTGTATACACTATTTTAATATTAATCATTCTAAAAATATATACACTGCTTTATTTTTTTTTAAAGATTTTATTTGTTTATTTGACAGAGCACACAAGCAGGCATAGTAGCAAGCAGAGGGAGAGGGAGAAGCGGGCTCCTTGGGAGGCAGAGGGAGAAGCAGGCTCCCCGCTGAGCAGGGAGGCCGATGCGGGACTTGACCCCAGGACCTTGGGATCATGACCTGAGCTGAAGGCAGACACTTAACAGACTGAGCCACCCAGGCACCCCTACCCACTACTTTAAAATGTTGATATATCATGAATATCTCCATGCCAACAATATTCATCTGCAATACTAATTCTCAGAGTGTAATTTGGGGACCCTAGGAGTCCCAAGACCTTTTCAGGGGGTTCATGAGCTCCAAACTCTTTTTATTTAAATTCTAAAACATTACTTGCCTTTCTCATTCTCCTGTCACAAGTTTCCTAGAGGCTACATAATACACGATATTGCAACAGTATAAATGCACAAGCAGACATAAAAATCCAGCTGCCTTTTATTAACTTTGACATTAAAGAGAATAGCACAAATGTAAAATAATGCCATTTTTTGGTTTTTGAATATGTACTTATTTTTCATAAAGTGTTGTTCATGTTACCATACAATAGAGTCTATTATTTTTAAGTGAAACAATGAACAAATATTTCTTAAATTTCTCTTTAAAACAGATTTTATTTAAGAGATAGAGAGCAGGCATGCAAGGAGTGGAGGGAAGGGCAGAGGGAGAAGGAGAGGGAAAGAATCTCACACAGTCCCAGACTCAGTGCTGAGCCTGGAGCCCGACTTGGGGCTTGATCTTAGCACCCTGAGATCATGACCTGAGCTGACACCAAGAGTGGGAGGCTTTACTGATTGAGCCACCCAGATGCCCCATTAAATTTCTCAGTTTTAATATAAGAAGTTTTGATAGACATAGCACACATAAAAGTACCTCTCTGGTGTCCTCAGTACTTTTCAAGAGTGTAAAGGGGTCCTGAGACCAAAAATGTGAGAACCTCTGATCCACAATATCATATTTTAATAGCTGATTTAGTTCATTGCACTGGAGTATCATAATTCATTTAATTAGTAAGTAATGCCAAAGAATAAGATCCTTAAAGTTAAATTTGTGTACACTCTTAATTACTTCTTTTTTTTTTTAAGGTTTTATTTATTTATTTGAGAGAGAGAAAATGAGAGCTAGAGAGCACGAGAGAGAAGAGGATCAGAGGGAGAAGCAGACTCCTTGCCGAGCAGGGAGCCCGATGCAGGACTCGATCCCAGGACTCCAGGATCATGACCTGAGCCGAAGGCAGTCGCTTAACCAACTGAGCCACCCAGGCACCCTTTTTCTTAATTACTTCTTTAAGATAATTTTCAGGGATGATTTTTAACATGCATACTTATTTACTTACTGTACAAAAATGGACTAACATCATTAATGTAATCCACCCCCTCAGCCAATCAACACTTTCCATTCTTTCTGTTTTGACTACTAGTTTAAGACTTTATCACTAGGTCACCATTTCCAAGGGGAAAGTACCTTGTGGCTCATCTAGCCCAGTGGGCTGCAACTTAATCACTTTGAAATCTTTTTAAAAAGCAAATTCCCAGGGTTGTGGGAAAGAACGGAGCATAAATCTCAAATGCCTTTATCTACATGTTTACTGTCGGTGGAATCAATTCATTCTTCTAAAGTACAGGCTGAAATGAGTGCTGCGTCATACATGCTCCTGGAGCCCTCTCCTACTGAGGATTGGGGCGGTGCGCTGTAGCCATTTGTGTAGCCGTCTGTCCATCCTCTCAGAAGACCAGTGGCCTCCTTCTTGAACAGCACCCACGGCGCCTCCTCTCTTCTATTTCCCGTGCTAAGCCCAGGGCCAGGCACTCACTGAGGGCGCAGCAAATTTTCGTGAACTGCTGAACAAAGGCTCTACCCTATAAGATCCTTATTCAGTAGGTCTCAGAGCCCAGAAACGTGCAGTTTTAATAAATTCTGCCTCCGACGTCAGATAACAAGAGTTCAAGGGTACGGGCTGGGCTGCTCCACCACTAGGTGCCTCCGTCTTGAATCCCCATAACGGGACAGATACAGCTGCCTCACAGGGTTGCCGTGGGGAGTCACTGAGCTAATGCACGTCGCATTCTCGGCTCCGTGAAGAACACAGGCCAAGCGCTGAGAATGGGCCTCACAAAAAGTAAGCCGCAGCCCCAGGTAGGCGACAGAGAAATCCGAGATGGGGGCAGGGAAGGGCGGAGGCAAGGAGCGCGTGGGTGCCCGGGTGGGTGTCCCTGGGGGCGGGAGTGTGGCCTCTGTTGGGCGTGACCGGAGGGCGGGGTGGGGCCTTCGTGCGTGAGCGGGGCGGGGTCGCAGCCGGGGGCGGAGCCACAGCTGGGGGCGGGGCCTTCGCGCGGGCCGCGCCGGGACCGGACTGGAGGCGGGGCGGTGGGCCTGGCGGGCCTGGCGGGCCGCAAGCGGGGAGGGGCGGGCCCGGGGCGTGCGCTGACAGGAGCGCCCCGGGAGTGAGAGACGCCTCCTGGCGGGAGCTGGCGGCAGCGTGGAACCGAAGGCGGGCGGAGGGACAGGGGAAACTGCGGCGGGGGGGGGGGGGGGGAGAGGGTGGCGGCGGGCCTGTCTCTTTAAGGTGCCCGAGGCTCGCGGGCGCTGCGTTGAGGGACGGCGCGGAGGCGCGGCCTGCCTCCCTCGCACAGCCCCGCGGCTCGCCCAGAGCTCGGCCGACCTGCGGGGGAACGAGGGCCAGGCGGCCTCGCGGCGCCGCGGCGCACGGTGAGCGGGAGCAGGCGGGGCAGGGTCTGCGGCCGGGGAGGGTCCGGGCCCAGAGCACTGGCCTCTGGAGGCCGAGGCCGCGGCGGACTCTCGGGACCGAGAGAAACGGAGCAGCTCCCGCGCGGCCTGGGCCCCGCCTACGCGCAGGACAAAGTGGGGGCGCCGCCCGGTGGGTGCTGGGCGCGGGCACGCGGGCCGGCGGCACCTCTGCGGCACCCTCCCCTGCCTCGCTGGTCAGCGGCGAGTCGGTGAGGCGAGGGTGAAGAGCCGCCGTGGCCTCTGCCTCCTCACCCGGCAGCAGGGGCTTCATGCAGCGCACAAAGGCTGCTGTCAGTGCCATCCCCCTGGGACCACACACAGGTCGCCAGAGCCTGAGAAACTGGTCCCGACGTAGGAAAACAGTTCCGCTGTGGTATCGTTCCTCACTCCTTAGGAAAAAAAAAAGGGAGGCCCTTTAAATAATTCTGTTACCTGTTTTATATATGCCCTTATTTACTTGAATACTTTTTCCAGTAAGATTTTGGGAGTAGTATGAAGACAACCAGAAGAGATGGGGGAAAAAAATCCCATTTTTAGTGAGCGTGGGATGAAAACTAGTTATGGATAAAAATCACTTTTCAAATACCTTCTTTGGCCTCCACGAATATGCACCAGAAGTCATCCGACTTTGTATGTGGTGTTAAATAAATCAGAAAATTGGGTTACTAACGGTCTTTAAGAATAAATAGTTTATGGGCCTCAGTAACAGTCACCAGGGCTTTCTCTTTCAAAATTGAGTCATCCCGGGTGCAAAGCCCTTTATTCTTTTCACCTTATTGCTTTTGTTTTATTGTACTTTATAATACTTAGAATAAAAGTTTACAGTAATCATAAAGGCCCTATAAACTCACCTTTTATATATCCAACATCAGTAATCATTTATTTTACTTGATTACATTTTTGGGAGGGTTTGTTTTAACGCCAAGAAGTTATATCTTTTAAAACAGCTTAATAAACATGTCTGTGGCTTAGCCACTATCAGGATTTGTGCTGGTCTTTTTTCCTTCTTTTTTTCAAAGTGTACTATCTTAATAATGTTGAAGAATCTATGGTACCTTTGGTATAGAATTAAAAGAATATCTTCACATTTTAATAAATTACTCAAGAGTTCTTAATGCAATTAATAATTTACTATCCCCTTTGTTATTTGCTGGGTTATTTAAAGAATGACTGTCAACTCCTTTCTCTGAGCTGCTTCATTCTGGCTAATTATGTTAAGAGGTAAAATGAGATGGTCATAAATAATCATTAGAACAAATTGCATTTTAAAAATGTGTTAAATTGGGGCACCTGGGTGGGTCAGTCGGTTAAGCGGCTGCCTTCGGCTCAGGTCATGATCCTGGGGTCCTGGGATTGAGCCCCAGCTCCGGCTCCCTGCTCAGTGGAGAGCCTGCTTCTCCCTCTCCTTCTGCCTGCCTCTCTGCCTACTTGTGCTCACTCTCTATCTGTCAAATAAATAAATAATCTTTTTAAAAATGTTAAATGTTTTAAATTATGATACAATATTAATAGTTTTAAATATGAGCTTAGAGTTGAATAATGGGCCTAAAACTAAAGTTGAATGGTAGTGGAACAGTATTAAAACTAGTTATTTGCCTCAGTAACCTGATGGTTTTTATATACATATCATATATGTGTATATATATGTATATGAAGTTGGCTGACAAAGCATTACTATATAAAAATTGTAGTTTGTTTTGACTGTTTAATCATTCATTGAGAATGTCCTTTAAATGATCACTCAAAAGTCTTTTAACACGAGTCTTGTTTTGCTTTTCATTTCTGTACGTGTTCTTAACCTAGCCCTTGCCTTTGAATTAAAGGTGTTTTTTTTTTTTCTTTTTGTTTGTTTGTTTAGCTTCCTTGGAGTTGATTGTCTGAAGAAACATGAAGACACACTGTGTTGTTATGCTTACTCTAGCCATCCTGGTGTTCCTGACGTGGGTCCCTGTGTCACTGAGTTGTAACAAAGCACTCTGTGCTAGTGATGTGAGCAAATGCCTCATTCAGGTAGGACTAAGTGTACTTTTTATTACTATTAAAATGTAAAAGAGATAAAGAGTGCATATATACAGATAGAGAGTGTGTGTGTGTGTGTGTGTGTGTGTATTACAGTGTAAGGCCTGAGTATTAAGTCAGCTCCTGAGGTACTGAACCATGACACACTGGTCTGGGTTTTTGCCCCCATAGTTTTCTTGCATATTCCCAAGGTCAGATTCAAGAAGTTTGGTGCTGAAAATAATATCCAGTTTCATAAATATGCCATTACAAAGTGATGAGCACTCCATTCAGATAAAGTAAAGGGTTTCCTTGTATTATCTAGTTTATATACCAAAGAAGCTCAATTACTATATTTAGAAAAAAATTTAGCTAGTCAAATAATAGACAGATTGTTTGCTTATATAAAGTAATAGTTGTCCATTCTGTGCAACAGGTTATCCCAAATGTAGCAACTTAATGCAGGAAACATTTATGTCATGCAGTGTCTGAGGGTTAGGAGTCTGGGAGCAGTGGAGGTGGGTGGTTCTGGCTCAGGGTCTCTCACAAGATTGCAGGCAAATTGTCGGCTGAGATTGTGGAGAATCTGCTTCCAAAACACTTGACAGTTATCTCTCTTTCAGTCATCAGGATGAGCCTAGGGATGTAGCTACCACTGTCATTTTTCTGAAGAAAAAATTGAGGTTAAGTAATTTGGTTAGGTTCATATAGCTAGTAAGTGACTGTAGAACGAGGTCTTTAACTCCAAAGCCTGGGGCCTTCCCACCAACCATACTGGTTATTACTCCATAAAGTTGTGTTAATTAGTGGTGACCTTCACATCTTATGTAGCTGTTCTTTCTTCTCATCCTGTTAGACCATCTGCAGTCTTGTGCCTTTTGTGTGTGTCTGTATTTATTAGCCTCCCTTTTAATTTTTGGTTGTTGGCTAAGAAATCCGGTAACCACACATATTAGAATTCTGTGTAAGGTAGGAGTCAGCTATAATTCCGACATGGAGCAGTTGTGTGTATGTACTATAAGTGATAATGATTTTTATAGATTTGAGGTATTTTGTATTTATTTTGGACATTTTGGTCCTTCTCATTAATAGTTGAGGTCCTTGGAAGCCTGGCCTTTATCTGAGTGTAGTTTGCCACCATCTCATACTCTCTTTACCCTTACTTTGCATTTCAAACCAAAACATTGAAATAGAGAAGTTTGTTGGTTGGTTTGTTTTTATTTTTTTTCACTATGGACATTTTTCAAGCATAAATAGAAGAAGAGAGGAGTACGGTGAAGGGCAGTCCGGCAATTAACTCAGGCTACCCATGTTTCATCTGTGTTCCTCTACACTGCCCACCCCAGCTATGTCTTAATTTTAGGCAAATTCCTGATACTGTTTTATCATAATTCTAATATCTACATCTTAAAGATAAGAACTCTCAAACACAGATATTAGCAATTTACGGGGTGCCTGGCTGGCTCCATTGGAAGACCATGATACGATCTCAGGGTTGTGAGTTCGAGCCCCACGTTGGGTGTAGAGATTACTAAAAAACAAAAACAAAACCCAAATAATCTTAAAAAGAATTAACAGTAATTTTAAATATCATCTAATTTTATACATGGAAGTCTTGATATGGCATGTCTGCTTAGGCTCATGCTGGCAGAAAATTTTGTAGTCTGTATGTGAAGTCCAGCTTTGTGCTCTGGTCTGATGGGGAAGTGGTGCCCCTTCCCACGTAGCTTCAATGTAGCTTCATTATTATTAGAAATAAAGTATCGCAACAATTGCTGTGTTCATGTTCAGGTAGAATTTCACTTAAATACCACATTATTTTTGACTCTCCAAATCTATAATTTCCATTAGTTCAAATAATTAAAAATTGGATTTTATTAAAATAACTTGCTTGGTAAAGGAGTATTTTAAAAAGAAAGCTTTTGGTTAATATTGATAAATACCCTCAAAGGTTTTTGGTTTGTTTCTTTTGCTTTTAAATTAAAAAATATGTAGGAGCACCTGGGTGGCTCAGTTGGTTAAGCATCTGCCTTCAGCTCAGGTCATGATCTCAGGGTACTGGGATCGAGCCCCGCATCCCGTTCCCCACTCAGCAGGGAGTCTGCTTGTCCCTCTGCCCTCCCCCCACTTGTGTGTACTTTCTGTCAAATAAATAAATCGAATCTTTTTAAAAATTAATTAATTTAAAAATATGTAACAGAAAATACTTCAAGAAGTAAAGACTACTATGAGTGTAAAAACTGGAAAATTGAGTGAGCTTCACCTGGTAAATGGTGACTCTAGTAAATTCATTGGAAAGAAGCTAGGACTTGTTTTCTTTACCATTAATTCAGTGATGCTAACATTTCTCAGATTCCTGTTGTTCCTTCAGAGCCAGGAATCATCAAATCTTTTTCTGGAGTGGTAGAGACAACACTTCTGGTGCATAGTGGCAGAGTATTTGAAGCTAAAAATATTGCAGGGCGCCTGGGTGGCTTGAGGGCGCCTGGGTGGCTCAGTTGGTTAAGCGACTGCCTTCGGCTCAGGTCATGATCCTGGAGTCCCGGGATCGAGTCCCACATCGGCCTTCCTGCTCAGCGGGGAGTCTGCTTCTCCCTCTGACCCTCCCCTCTCTCATGCTCTCTCTCTCTCTCAAATAAATAAATAAAATCTTTAAAAATAAATAAATAAATCAAAATATTGCAGTCTTGAGAATTGGGGATTTTCTTATTCATTTATTCACAAACTCTTATTGGACATTGAAGTAAAATGTGATTAGTTCCACCATTTGACTGATTTTGTGGTCTCCAAAACTCCAGCAGATTATTTCACATTCTGAGCTTTATTTTCCTTGTATTCCTCTTATTATGGCTATGTAACCACCTCAGAAATCAGTGGCTGAAAACATCGTTGATTTTGCCCATGAGTTTGCATTCTGCCGGAGTGGGTGGGGTAACTCATCTCTGCACCACACAGCACTAGGGCAGCTTGAAGGCTGAGGGCTGGGGTTATCTGAAGCAGCACTATTCGGTAGAACTTTCTACAATGATAGAAACAGTCTACATCTGCCCTGTGCAGAGCAGTAGAAACTAGCCACATGAGGCTATTGAGCACTTGAAATATGACTTGTGTGATTGAAAAATAGATTTTTAAATTTTATTTAGTTTTAATTAATTGAAATGTAAATAGCTACATGTGACTAGTGGCTACTATACTGGATCTCACAAATCTGAAGGCTCACTGATAAATCTAACACCTGGGCTAGAAAGATTCTTCAGCACTCTCATTCTGTCTCTCTCGCTCTCAGTCACTTACTTTCTCAGTTGTCTCTCTCTATGACCTCTCTAGTGTGCTGGTTTAAGACTAGCTAGGTATCTTACATATTGGCTCAGGGCTCCCAAGATACATGCCTCATGAAAGAGAGCTAGAGGAATATGTATTGCCTTTTATGGTCTCACCTTAAAGGTTACATATTACTTGCACCATAGTCATTGGTCCACCTGGATTTAGGTGGAGGGAACATAGGCCTCTGATGGAGGAGCATAAAAAGAGCGTGTGGCATAAAATGGCATGGACAGCTTTGAAAAATACGTACATATTAAGTGTAAAATAGATTGGCTGGCTAGGTGATCTCAGAGTTTCCTTCTAGTTCTATATAGTTCTTTTTTTTTTTTTTTAAAGATTTTATTTATTTATTTGAGAGAGAGAGAATGAGAGATAGAGAGCACGAGAGGGAAGAGGGTCAGAGGGAGAAGCAGACTCCCCGCCAAGCAGGGAGCCTGATGTGGGACTCGATCCCGGGACTCCAGGATCATGACCTGAGCCGAAGGCAGTAGCTTAACCAACTGAGCCACCCAGGCGCCCTAGTTCTATATAGTTCTAAAGAAAGAAAACAACTATTATGTGTTAAATATTCTCTTTTTTTTAAATCAGAGTAAGAAAGGCATTTCTCTCTTTTTTTTATTGAAGTATAATTGCCATACAATGTTACATTAGTTTCAAGTATACAACATGTTGATTTGACAATTCTATACATTAGTGCTCACTATAATTAAGTGTAGTTACCATTACAATATTACTTTTTTAAAGATTTTATTTTATTTATTTGAGAGAGAATGAGCAAGAGAGAGCACAAGCAGGGGAGAGGGGCAGAGAGCGTGGGATTAAGCGGACTCCCTGCTGAGCAGGGAACCTAACTCAAGGCTCCATCCCAGGACCCAGGGATAATGACCTGAGCCAAAGGCCCACGCTTAACTGACTGAGCCACCCAGGTGCTCCTGTTATTACAATATTATTGATTATATTCCCTATGTAGTACTTTCCATCGCTATGACTTATTTTATACCTGGAAGTTTGTAGGTATACCTCTTAATCTCCATTATCTATTTTCCCCATCTCTCCTTCCCACAGCCATTAATTTGTTCTCTATATTTAAGAATGTTTGTCTTATTTTTCAGATTCCACATATAAGTGAAATCATACGGTATTTGTCTTTTTCTGTTTGACTCTTTTCATGTAGCATAATACCCTCTAGGTCTGTCCATGTTGTCGCAAATGGCAAGATCTCATTCTTTTTTATGGCTGAGTAATATTCCTGTGTGTGTGTGTGTATACACTACTCTTCTTTATCCATTCATCTATCTATGGACACTTGGGTTGCTTCCATATCTTGACTATTATAAGTAATGCTGCAATAAATATAGCATGTATCTTTTCAAATTAGTGTTTTCCTTTTCTTTGGGTAGTTGGATTGTATGGTATCGTATGTATTTCTATTTTTAATTTTTTGAGTTACTTCCATTCTGTTTCCTACAGTGTTTGCACTAACTTACATTCCCACCAACAGTGCACGAGGGTTCCTTTTTCTCCACATCCTTGCCAAAACTTGTTATTCCTTGTCTTTTTGATGGTAGCCTTTCTGACTGGTATGAAGTTATACCTCATTGTGGTTTTGATTTGCATTTTCCTGATGATTAGTGATGTTGAACATCTTCTCATGTGTCTGTTGGTCATCTGGATGTCTTTGGAAAAAT